ATCTGTTGACCTCATGATCCGCCTGCCTCAGCCTCCCAAAGTGCTGGATTACAGGCATGAGCCACCGCACCCAGCTTTTTTTTTTTTTTTTTTTTTTTTTTAAATGGAGTCTCCCTCTGTTGCTCAGGCTGGAGTGCAGTGGTGTGATCTCAGCCCACTGCAACCTCCGCCTCCCGGGTTCAAACAATTCTCCTGCCTCAGCCTCGCGAATACCAAGGACTACAGGCATGCACCACCACACCCAGCTAATTTCTGTAGTTTTAGTAGCAATGGGGTTTCACCATGTTGGCCAAGCTGGTCTCAATCTCTTGACTTCATGATCTGCCCACCTCGGCCTTCCAAAGTGCTGAGTTTGCGGGCGTGAGCCACTCCGCCCAGCCAAGCATGTTTTCATAATAAGAGCCATTTATTTTTTCTTTTCTGTGGACCATCTGTTTAAATCTTTTGCCCATTTTCCTCTCAGGCTACTAATCTTTTTCTGATCAATTTGCAGGAGTTCTTTAAACATCAGAGCCTGTGATACGAGATGAAAATATTTCTCCAAGCTTGTCATTCATCATTTGACACTGCTCATTGCGTTAGCACTGAGCTATTCCACTGAGCTATAGCACTATTCCATGCTGCTATAAATTCTGTTGTAACAGAACACCTGAGACTGGGAAATTCATCCTTAACAGAAACGCACTGGCTCACGGTTCTGCAGGGCAAGGCAATGGCAGGCCCGGTGGCGAGTGGGAGCCTGGTGTCTGCTTCCAACGTTGCCTCCTCCAGGGAGGAAAAGTGCTGTGTACTCACCCGGCAGAAGGTGGAGGGTCGGGTGGCAAACAGGCCCAGACACGCCCTTCATAAGATGACGGTATTAGATCCACACGCGGGGGTGAAGCCCTCATGGGCTAACCAGCTCTTAAAGTTCCCACCTCCTAATACTGCTACAGGCTGGGCGCAGTGGCTCACACCTATGATCTCAGCACTTTGGGAGGCTGATGGGGGTGGATCACGAGGTCAGGAGTTCGAGGCCAGGCTGACCAACACTGCGAAACCCTGTCTCTACTAAAAATACAAAAAGTAGTGGGTCACGGTGGCTCATGCCTGTAAT